GACTTCCCATACATCCTGGCAAGCTCAGCTAAACGTACGCCACTTTTGTATTTTTCTACAATCTCTTTTCTACAATCTCACCTTCTTTACCATAGGGCTGGCACTAGGAACTTTCTTTGGGCCTATAGTGGCATATTTAACAGTCGCAATCAATAAACAAGCACAAAAACTGCGAAATGTTTCGATGTATGTTCACTTAACCAGTGACAGAGCCAGACTGACGGCGTCCGGGCAGGCGGACACATATGATACGTACGATTTCCAGACTGAGGTATGAAATCTGGACCAACATTTCACCCAAAGAAAGTGTTCTAAATCCGAATTGTACAATATGCAGATTGTACGAAAGCCAGAGTTCCACTGTACATATCATTTACACAAAATACATACATACATAGTAAAATAAATTAACATAATTGTGAGGTGTGGTAGCCAAGTGGGTTACCAAGCTTCACAATTACTATAACAATTTCTCTAGTACACCACCACCTGAGAAACTGTTTATAGCATTACTAGGGGGTAACTATAAAAAACATTTCTTTCGTATGCCTTCACTCACTATGTATGTGTCACTTAATCTCAAAAAGGTGTGTTGCATGAGAATGGGAGTGTTGCTGTTATGTATTCTACTGCAACAATGTGAAGATAACTTTTACACAATATAAGGCATTGGTATTGTGGTGAAAGTTTCACAAATACAGGCATAATGCAAAATGAACACGTATCAACCAGCAGGTACACAGGTATTAGTAGACGTTTGTCTGACCACCCACCACCTGATCATTCTCTGCTTGCATGCTCCGCACCTCTCTCATTTACGTACTTGTTCTCTCTCTCATTTACGATGGTGTCTAAGAGTTGTGATAAAAAGAAGAGTTGTAAGCCTCTTACTTAACCCTTTCAGGGTTGGTGCCGTACTAGTATGGCTTGCACACCAGGGTTGGTGCCGTACTAGTACGCATAAATTCTAGCACCTTCAAATCTAGCGAGAGAAAGCTGGTAGGCCTACATATGAAAAAATGGGTCTATGTGGTCAGTGTGCACAGTATAAAAAAGATCCTGCAGCACACAGTACGTAGTGTATTTTCGTATGCTATTTATAGTTGTATTCTAGTTTTCCTGATCTCATTTTATAGAATGGAAGACATACTACAGAAATTGAGATGATTTTGATTGGTTTCACAATGAAAAGTACCTTGAAATTGAGCTCAAAGTAGCAGAAATGTTCGATTTTTGCCGAAGTTCAAAAGTAAACAAATCATGCCATGTGTCCAACACACATCAACTGTTGAGTCTAATATTCTTTCACAAGTGCGCTGATATTATTTATACCATTTCTGCACTAATGCAGTAGTCTGCGTAACACTAAATCTTCTATTTTTTGTTAGTATAAAAATTCAAAGTGGAAAGCAAAAGAAATGTAAGAGAGGCCTGGGGATGTGACTAATGAACAGAAAAGTATTATTTAAGTGCCAGGAATGTCTGTCTTGTTTATTCTGGACCCTGTTTGGAAATTGGCATCTTTTGAAATGTGTGAAATTGGCAAAATTGCCAATTTCTGACCACTTTAATGGATAGTTGAAATCGGTAAATGGATGGTTTCTTGTACTCATTCGATAGAAAAAAGGAGCTCTAGCGAAATAGTTATGATTTTTGTCAACTGGTACATTGGAATTGGCCGAAAATAGGGCTCAAAGTGGGCGGAATCGCTGATGCGTAAACATTGTTCAGACCGCTAACTTCGTGAGAGCATAATTCCGTAAGTTTTCCATCAAATTTCATACTTTTGGTGTCATTATGATCAGGAAAAGATTTTCTATCATTTCATAAGAAAAAATAATTTTTTTTTTTTTTTGAAAAATTTCTGACCCTAAGAACAAGTTTAGGAGAGGGCCTGCTGACCCTGAAAGGGTTAAAATTCCAAGATGAAAATGATTGAACTCAGTGAACAAGGTATGTTGATGGCAATAATCATGATAATTAAAATAAATAATAATAATTAATAATAATCGCTCTGGGATGCTTGAAATGTCGTATGTTACCTTATGTCGTATACTGTATTACGTTATTATAAACATTTTCATTAATCCATCTGTGACTTTTTGCAAATTTATGTAAGAAACACTACATATATTATGATCAAAACCAAGTGCTAAACCCACAAGGGTCATACAGTGCTGCTACATATATAAACAAAATACACCTACCATCCGACTTACGACCTGCTCGACTTACGACCACTCGACTTACGACCGTGTTTTTTATGCCAAATTTCTGGGAAATAAACACCTATTTGTGTTGTACACAGTGTTTATCCTAAACCTTACAGTATAAAATACAGTACTAACAACATAAAAAGTAAAGTAAAACATGAAATACCAAAATAAAACAATAAAATAAAGTCATTACAAAAATGTTTTGTTGATATTCAGTAGTAAAGTTCGACTTACGACCATTTCGACTTTCGACCGGTTTCTCGGAAGCAAACTCGGTCGTAAGTCGGAAGGTAGGTGTATATACATAGTAAAACAAATTAACATAATTGAGTGGTGTGGTAGCTGGGCGGTTTACCACGCCTGACTTCCTACAATAAATACTATACTCACCAAATACTTTAAGGTAAGTAATGAGTGTATTGTACGTATATGCATTTTAATTTTTTATTCCAAGTTATATTGCTAACTTAATATAGGAGACTGTAAGCATGTTATCAATAGTTTATGTGCATTTAACCCTTTCAGGGTCCAAGGCCCAAATCTGGAGTCACGCACCAGTGTCCAAGAATTTTCCAAAAAAAAATTTGTTATTTTTTCTTATGAAATCGTAGAGAATCTTTTTGTGAAGGTAATAAAACAAAAAGTACAAAATTTGGTGGAAAATTGACGAAATTATGCTCTCGCGAATTTTAATGTGTCAGCGACATTTACGAATCGGCGATTTTGCCGACTTTGACTCCCATTTTAGACCAATTACATTATTCCAATCAACCAAATTCTTAGCTATTTCACTAGTATTACTTCTATTCTATCGATTGAGCACAAGAAATCGCCAAGTCAACTGTTTCAACTACAAAATAAAGTGATCGGAAATTGTTAATTTGGCCAATTTAACACAAAGTTCAAAATATTCCAATTTCAAAATAGGGTCCAGAATAAACAATGTAGGCATTCCTGGCACTAAACTAATGTTTCCTCTGTTCATTAGTTATGTTTTGAGGCTTTACAAATAAATTCCATTTTGATTTTTTATTCACACCAAAAAATAGAAGATTTACTGTTATGCAATACTGTAATAATTGTATAAATATCATCACCATATTTGTGAATGTATATTAGACCCACCAGCTGACGTGTATTAGATGTGTGAAGTCGTTTGTTTACTCTTGAATATCGGCAAAAATTTAACATTTCCGCTACTTTGAGCTCAGTTTCAAGCCATTTCCAGTGCTAAAACCAATCAAAATCATCTCTATTTCTGTAATATGTCTTCCATTCTATCAAATGAGACCAAGAAATCGCAAATACAACTATAAAAAACATACGAAAAAACACTGCAAAGTTGCTGTTTTAATCGAAAAATCATGATTTAAGTTTTTTTCTCTCATTATACACAGTGTGCTGCAGGATCTGTTTTATGTGGTGCACACATACCACATAGATGTATTCTCTCATATCTAGGCCCAAATGTACCACTCACAGTTTATCAGAGTGAGCTGAGCTCATGGCGTAGATCTACGGTTTGGACCCTGAACGTAAAGCCGTAGATCTACGGGACGGACCCTGAAAGGGTTAAAAGTGAAAAAAAAAAGGGCAATTCACTTTACTGCAGCAGCCTGGAACCTAACCTACCATAGAAGCAGGATCCTCCTGTATAAGGTTACCAGTTCCTCAGTGTTGAAGTAGTAATTTTGAGATGGTTCATCCCTCAGCTTTGATAAGTGTTCAGCTCCATAGCCTCGAGTAATGAGCTGAACATTTATGAAGGCTGAGGACTGATCACCAGACACCCAGAAGTATTAATGAAAAAAAAATTTTTTTACCTTAAAGATAGATTTACATGCACAAAAGATTGAACATTCAACATGACACTTACCTTTATTGAAGGCTGTTGTTGGTTGATGGAAGATAGGGAGGAGGGAAGAGGGAAGAGAGGTTATTCTATGAAAGGGGAATCCCCCTCCTTAAGGACTCTAGGACGTAGATCTAGGTTTTTTACATTCTTTCTTATGGAGAAAATCAAGGTCGGAGTGCTACGCTTTGGATCTACGTAGATCTACGTTTGGACAGTTTAAGGGTTAATGCCACACTGCACAAATCTCCATTACTACCACCCTCTACCACCATCACAACCACTACCACCCTCTACTACTACCACCCTCTACCACAACCACTACCACCCTCTACCACCATCACTACCACTACCACCTTCTACCACCATCACAACCACTACTACCCTCTACCACCACCACTTTCGTATTTTTCTACAAACTTTTTCTTGAATTCTATCGTTTTTCTCACATTCTTTACCAAAGGGCTGGTACTAGGAGCTTTCTTTGAGCCCATGGTGGCTTATTTAGCAGGCGCACACAATAAACAAGTGCCAAAAACAATGGATTATTAAAAAATGTTTCATATGACCTCGCAGGATATGTTCACTCACTGAGAAACAACACGACACTGCCTGAGAATGTGTGTGGGAGGCGGCTTTGTGTGCGCTGGACAGGTTCCATACCATCGACGAAAACGGAGGAAATCGACAAAAATGGAACCAATATTTTGACGAAAAGTCGGAAAAAACAGAAATTGGCAATAACGGAGATCAATGTCTTTAAGTCACTTCCATATGCAACTGGAGAAACCTGCTGAGCAGCAAAACATTTTGACAATAAAGATACACAGCTGTTGCACATATTTTACTTATCTACATGTCAATACAGTATACCATTAATATAATGAATGGTACTGATATTCAGGATAAGGGTAGATTAGTCAAATGCTATAATTCATTCAAGATTTTTTTTTTTTTTTTGCAAGATGGTACAAATAGTACATAAATCATTACTCATTTAATTAATTATACAGACATCCATAATATGCTCTTATTGATAAATATTAAAAGATTACATGCAGAAAATCAATAGGTCAAACTCAGAGTGAACTCTGGATAACAACAGAGTTTAACCCATATGCAGAGCAAACCTGAAGTTTATTCAATATTTTTGTCAAGGTAGCTTCCTAAAGAAAAAACAAAGAATTATTATGGGCATACATATCTGCAACTAGGGTATCTTGCAATCTAATTTAACTATTCATCATTAACAATGCAAGTGTTAACCATAGGCTAGGAGTTAGAACTTGCATTAATTTGAATGATGTTAAATTAAATGTTAAATTGATTTTAGAAATCAACACACACAAAAACTGCTTTTTTATATTTGTTCACTATGTTTAACCAAAGTAAAAGCTTTTCATAAAGTCCCTTTGATTTTTGTCAATTTCTGAAAAGCCTTTTTTTTTTTTTTTTTTTTTTTAGCCCAGTGTTGTACATCAATGACATGTTAGATGAGCCTTGCTTGTGCCCATATTTCTCAAGAAGTCATCTTGGTGAAACAATGAATAAATTAAGCTCCCCATTTTACATCTTGTTTTACTTTCAAGCAAATTGAGGTTTACTATGTATGTATTGCATATTTTTTTTTAGAACACAAAAAACATTTATAAGATTACCCTACACTTGATATACTGCACATAATCACATGGTAACTTGATTACAGCTTGGGATGAAAATCACATCACTCAATTTCATATCTTAAGGTCTTTTATGGTCTTGTAAATTAACCTGTTTCATTCTTAATAGTAATCAGGCACTGGAGCACACACAATCCTGCAGAAATCTTGATAACGTACAACACCATTAGGAGAGATGTTGGCCTCACGGAAAATTTGCTCAACTGAAAAAGAAAATTACTTATTTATCTATTATTTGTACATAATGGATTAGCATCTCTTCATGAAATGCAGTTTTGACACATTAAAAGAATAAAACTTGAAGCTTGTTAAAAAAAAATCTAATTAGCAAAAGGCAGCTGTCACACACCATCCCTATTTAAATCTATTAAACATGCAATCTTCAAGGGAAATACCTTGACTACAATGAACAGCTCTTAATCCAAGGAACTGGAACTATTCTTACCTTCTTCAGATGAAACTTTATTAGGTCCTATTTCCCCAGGTGCTATATGACCCCAGTGGGTTCAGCACTTCCCCACAAATATTGTATACCACTATGTACTATGGTAATACTAAAATATACAATCCATACATACACTACATAGCTCGCTCTACTTTTACAGCACTGTATGACCCTTGTGGGTTTAGTGCATAGTTATGATTATAATAATTATAATCACTCTACTTTCAGAAAACAAAAACTGTAATATAAACCTAGACATTAATTGGAGAGAGCTGTAATGCAACACATTAAATAAAATAAATCTAGTTTCACAAGTACAACTAAACCTATGTAGGAAATTAATGCAAATAAAAGGGTGAAAATTTATGGAACATCTTATCATAGGAAATCAACGGCTGTACAATACATAAATAACAAAAAGGCACAATACCGTGACTGGAACGATACACAAAATAAACGACACGACACTAAAATTGAAAAGTCTATAACGTGACAGGACGTTATACGGAGTCGGACTTGTGACATGTACTAAAGTACACTAACTAGTAGACTGGAGTACAGGTACGGTCATATATATAGAGACAGTGTACAGACGTGTTAGTACTGTTGTGTAGTTAGTAGACTAGTACGTACTACTAGTAGTACTAGTAGTACTAGTAAGTACTAGTAGTACTAGTACTAGTAGTACTAGTAGTAGTAGACTAGTAGTACTAGTACTAGAGAGTAACAGTAGTCAGCTAGTACTAGTAGTATAGTACTAGTAGTACTAGTACTAGTAGTATAGTATAGTAGTATAGTGTAGTATACTAGTATAGTAGTACTAGTATTAGTAGTATAGTACTAGTAGTACTAGTAGTATAGTAGTATAGTAGTACTAGTAGTAGTAGTATAGTATAGTACTATAGTAGTTAGTAGTAGTAGTAGTAGTAGTAGTAGTAAGCTAGTGTAGTAGTAGTAGTAGTAGTATAGTAGTAGTAGTATAGTATTGTATATAATACCGACAAGATGAAATTAAGACATGCACAACACCCGGGCATCCCCATCGTAGACGTTTCGCCATCCAGCCAGCCACTGGATGGCGAAACGTCCACAACAAAGACAACCAGATGCCGCACATGTGTCTTAATTTCATCAGTAGTTGAAGTAGTAGAAGAAGAAGAGGTAGTAGTAGTGGTAGTGGTAGAAGTGGGAAATAAGGATGACAAGCCAGACAAAAACAAAGGAAGGGGAGCACTGCAAGAGAGCTAGATGCCCACAGAGGAGGAGCAAGCGCACAGAGGTGCGTGAAAGGGGAAGTGGTGAAATAAAATAAATGAAGAAGGAACAGAAACACGAGACAGGATAGAGAAAGACAACCCAGAGGAGAAAAGGAAAGAGGAAAGGGGAAGAGGAAGAAGAAAAAGAAAGAAAAAATGAGGATTCAGGTTAAGTCATGGGTGTTCTGAAGTTTGGAGCATTTTACAATGTAGTGGGAGAGGAAGGCATCTACAGAGACGAAGCCAGGGCTAAGGTTCATACAAGGAAAGTTGTGTATTAGAGAGGATTCAACTAGACGGCGACTGTTCGAGTTGGAAGTAGGGAAGACAGTTTTAGCAGAAGACCAGTCAATACAGTTCGGCCATCACTAATCTGGCAATCAGTACTCCGGTTCCATCAGTAAAAATTTCCAGGGTCACCACACCAACCTGCCACTAATGTTTGGTGGTGCTACTTGCTGCACAAGTCATTCCAATTTCTTTTTCTCCATTTATTGTTATAACCTGCTCACTTTTAGCCCTATTATTATTATTATTACATATAATCAAAGAAAGCATTAAACCGACAAGGGTCATACAGCGCTGCAGGGCAGAAAATAATGCTGAGGCTATAAACAGGTAGGTGGAGAGGGGATCAGAGATGAAGGGAGAAAAGGGCTGTCAATCTTCGTACAGTAAAGCAGTTGCTGACAAAAAGTTAAAAAGTGAATGTAAGTCAAAGGCTGGGCCATCTGCAAGAAGGGAAGATAAAGTAAGAGTGGCAGGTTGGCGGCATTGTTGGAGGTAAATCCTGCGAGCTCGCTGGTAAACCAGGCAACTGACAAGAAAGTGAAGAACCAAAATAGGGACCCGACAAACCTCACAGAGAGGAATAGGTTGTCTTTCCATGAGATAGCCATGGGTAAGGTGTGTATGGCCAATGCGGAGCCGGGAGAGCACAGTCTCCCAAGAATGGCAATGGTGGTAAGAAGATGGCCACAAACCTAAAAGCAGTTTAATAGAGTGCAATTTGTTATGGTGCATGCCTGACCACTGTTGTTGCCAACGGCTGCGAAGACAGGCCGGGATGACTGGAAAATAACCCCTGAACGGAATACGTACCTCTACAGGAAACCGAAAGATTGTGCACCGCTGACCACGCAGCAGCATGTGCTTGTTCATTACCATGCACACCAACACGTCCAGGGACCCCAACAGAAAACGATGTCTTTGTTTTTGCTAGCCACACAGCGCGACCATAGTTGAATACAGTGGACCCCCGCATACCATTGGCATCACATAACGTTAAATCCGCATACCGCTACATTTTATCGCCAAGATTTTGCCTCGCATACCGCTAAAAAACCCGCTCAACGCTGTTCGTCCGAGACGCGTCTAATGTGCGCCCTTAGCCAGCCTCACATGTTCCGCCGGTGGCATTGTTTACCAGCCAGCCTCCGCGGTAACATCCAAGCATACAATTGGAACATTTCGTATTATTTTAGTGTTTCTGGTGATTTTATCTGCAAAATAAGTGACCATGGGCCCCAAGAAAGCTTCTAGTGCCAACCCTACAGGAATAAGGGTGAGAATTACTATAGAGATGAAGAAAGAGATCATTGATAAGTATGAAAGTGGAGTGCGTGTCTCCGAGCTGGCCAGGTTGTATAGTAAACCCCAATCAACCATCGCTACTATTGTGGGCAACAAAAAGGCAATCAAGGAAGCTGTTCTTGCCAAAGGTTTAACTGTGTTTTCGAAACAGAGATCGCAAGTGATGGAAGATGTTGAGAGACTATTATTGGTGTGGATAAATGAGAAACAGATAGCAGGAGATAGCATCTCTCAAGTGATCATAAGTGAAAAGGCTAGGAAGTTGCATGAGGATTTAATTAAAAAAATGCCTGCAACTAGTGATGATGCGAGTGAATTTAAGGCCAGCAAAGGTTGGTTTGAGAGATTTAAGAGGCGTAATGGCATACATAGTGTGATAAGGCATGGTGAGGCTGCCAGTTCGGACCACAAAGCAGCTGAAAAATATGTGAAGGAATTCAAGGAGTACATAGAAACTGAAGGACTGAAACCTGAACAAGTGTTTAATTGTGATGAAACAGGCCTGTTTTGGAAGAAAATGCCAAGCAGGACCTACATTACTCAGGAGGAAAAGGCACTCCCAGGACATAAGCCTATGAAAGACAGGCTTACTCTGTTGATGTGTTCCAATGCTACTGGTGATTGCAAAGTGAAGCCTTTATTAGTGTATCACTCTGAAACTCCCAGACCGTTCAGGCAAAAGAATGTCCTCAAGGAAAATTTGTGTGTGCTGTGGAGGGCAAACAGTAAGGCATGGGTCACTAGGGACTTTTTCTATGACTGGTTACACCATGCATTTGCCCCCAATGTGAAAAATTACCTAACTGAAAAGAAATTAGAACTTAAGTGCCTCCTGGTGTTAGACAATGCCCCTGGTCATCCTACAGACGTGGCAGAGCGACTTTATGGGGACATGAAATTCATTAAGGTGAAGTTTTTGCCTCCTAATACCACTCCTCTCCTGCAGCCCATGGACCAGCAGGTTATTGCAAACTTCAAAAAACTGTACACAAAAGCTCTGTTTGAAAGGTGCTTTGTAGTGACCTCAGAAACTCAACTGACTCTAAGAGACTTTTGGAGAGATCACTTTAATATCCTCAATTGTGTAAACCTTATAGGTAAGGCTTGGGAGGGAGTGACTAAGAGGACCTTGAACTCTGCTTGGAAGAAACTGTGGCCAGAATGTGTAGACCAAAGGGATTTTGAAGGGTTTGAGGCTAACCCTGAGAATCCTACGCCAGTTGAGGAATCCATTATGGCATTGGGAAAGTCCTTGGGGTTGGAGGTTAGTGGGGATGATGTGGAAGAGTTGGTGGAGGAGGACAATGAAGAACTAACCACTGATGAGCTGATAGATCAACTTCAACAGCAAGAGGCCAGACCTGAGGAAACTGGTTCGAAGGAGGGGAGAGAGAAATTGAAGAAATTGCCTACTACAAAGATTAAGGAAATCTGTGCAAAGTGGCTTGAAGTGCAAACCTTCATGGATGAAAATCACCCTCACACAGCTATTGCAAGCCGTGCTGGTGACTATTACACTGACAATGTTGTGAAGCACTTTAGGGAAGTCATAAAGGAACGAGAGGTACAGGCCACTATGGACAGATATGTTGTGCGGCAGAAGTCCAGTGACTGAAGCTGGTCCTAGTGGCATTAAAAGAAGAAGGGAAGTAACCCCAGAAAAGGACTTGACACCAAGTCTTAATGGAAGGGGATTCCCCTTCTAAACACTAACACACACTCCTCCTCCCATCCCATCAATCATCACCAGATCTTCAATAAAAGTAAGTGTCATGTAATTGTGCATGCCTTTTTCAGTTTGTGTGTATTAAAATTAATATTTCATGTAAAAAAAAATTTTTTTCATACTTTGGGGTGTCTTGCACGGATTAATTTGATTTCCATTATTTCTTATGGGGAAAATTCATTC